ATTTTTGCATTACTCTAAATTAAAAATAAATATTTTTTTACAAGCATACCAAGCTGTACCTGCACCTTATGTTTTTTTGAATTTTATCATATTAACATACCCGTATCGTACCAATACTAGTACTTGTATCCGTACCCGTGCTTCATAGCAAATAAGGAATAATAAAATATGTTAAAATAAATAAAAAGAAAAGTTCTATATTTTATTTTATAAATTTTTTATTATATATGGTTTAATTAGATTTCTTTTAAATAATTGGATGATTTATTTTATTTATTATATGTTAAAAAGTTAAGAAATAATAATTTACAAAAATTATTATTATATATGATATTTTAAGAAATAATAATTAAATATTTTATTATATATGGTAAAAATTATAATTTATAAATTTTATTACATATATAATATATGATAAATTATATTTATTATATATATTATATATGATATATGATATATAATATATATATGTATAATTATATGATCAATTAAACATAGAGACGAAGAGAGAGAGCGAAGAGAACAACGAACAGAGATGAAAAGGGAGAGAAGCAGAGACGAAGAGATAGAGAGAGAAGCACATAGACGAAAAAGAGAGAGACGAAGACGATCGAGAGAGTGACGAAGATGATCAAAGCCCTCAGAGACGAAAACGATTGTGATCGATAGTGAGAGAAGAGAGTGACGAAGGCAATCAAAGCCCTAATCTCAACACTGATCCACTGTAAGTTCTCTCAACAACCCTTCTTCTTTCTCCTCTCATGTCGACGTCGAAGGCTAGGGTTTCTCTCTCTCTCTCTCCCTCCCCTTTACGATCTCATCTTGAACTGAATCGCGTTTCTCTCTCCACAGAAACGCGATTCTTACATGTTTCTTTCTAGGAATCCCGGAATCGCGATTCTCAAAATCGCGAATCGCCACCTAGTTGCACGATTCCTACAACTAAGGTCGAAACAGCTGAAAAATCCAACAATGCACTTCCGTTTGTGTTAGCGTTATGCGTTATCCATTCTCTCTCTTCGAAAGCTAAAGAAGTGAAGCTTCTAAAAACTCTCTCACTCTAATATATGTTCTCTATGTTGTGAATATTTTTTTATGTATATAAAGAAACTACCTTTCTATGGTAAGGTGGCTCTCTGCATACTCAAAGAAGAAGGGGATGTTTTAAATTTAATGGAGGCAAATTCACAAAATTTTTCAAAAAAATAGCAATAACATCAATTGAGGCCAAGGCTATGAATCTTGTAGACTGTAGTACTGTTTTTACTATTGGTACCATGCATATCGCTACCATTATGTTTTCTTGATTACCATTTTTGGATTTATCACTATAACTTCTAAAATTTATCATGTAAAAACCGTATTTATTTATTTATAAATGTGGCATTTTTTTCAATGTAATTTGTATGCTTGAAGAACATGTAACATTTTTACCATCTAATCATTCTTATTCTAATCATTATTTTAGAAATTCTCATAATTTTTTTAATCTTTCGTATTGTTGAGCATGCATACACCTGCAAGAGATGAACATGAAACAAAATTAAACCTTTTGTTTAACACATTTTAATCGGTACAACACACTTAAATAAAACAAGTCTTGATACTTTCCACTAGTTTTCCCGGTCCTACAGTTCTTCCTAAGATGTTAAAGCAGCTTCAAACCTAAATGACATTCATTCTCTATCTATCTACATGTGTCTAAAGTATGTTGAGAAGACAAACATAAAGAACAGATGTAAGCTTTGACGACGATGGTGGGGCATGTTACAGCTTGACCTTACAATACAAATTCGCAGTCGTTGGTGATGGATAGCTACTGGCATCACCAACACTTCTCAATTCTTAGGGCTTCTTTGTAAGAACTATGAATATAACATGTATGCGCCAGAAGGAACTAGTACAAAACGGCACAGCTGGACTATGCTAAAAATTGCCAAGATAGCTGAAAACAATCCAATAACTTAACCAGCACTGGATCGAAGGTCTTCTACATTGTTTTTTCTAGTGTAACAATACATTTCGAACAGTATAGGTTGGCACAATACAGGATTCACAACCTTGGTTAAGGGTGATAAATCGCTAACTATAAGGGGGAGTTTTAATAATTGCTTCATAGTTTAAACTTTTAAGTAGTCGTGTGATAAAAATGGAATTGTTTAAAATATTGATTTTTTTGGATAATTTGGGGAAAACAAAATTCTACACAACTTCAAATTGAGGGGAACACCAAATATTGTTCTCCCTTTAAATATTAGTATAAATAAATTAATAATGCTTTTGATAAAAAGTAAAGCCATTGTCTTTATCAATAAAATTCAAAAAAAATCCCACCATATTTAAAATTAACATAACCTTTATGATCCTAAAGTCATATTATATCATCCTACAATCAAATGATGCTCAGTCCATGCCAATACATATAGAGAACTAATTCTGGTGGCAAATAGATCGTTTGATAATGTTGTCAATTTTCTGTTTCCTATTAACATAAAATTGGAACTTTTTTTTTTTGTGTGTAAAAAACATAGAAAGGTGTACACAATTACTTTGAAAACAAATAAAAACAAAAGCAAAGACACATTCTCGATGAGTTACTGAAGGTGAAGGCCGCCGGCAGAGGGTGGCCAGAGGTGAATGAAAAGTGCCGTTGGAGATCACGGGGGTTGCTGAAAGGTGGCTGGAGGTCAAAAGGGGGAACGGGCAGCGGCCCTGGGTCTCAACGGGAGAATAGCCAGCCCCTAGAAGTGGTGGATAAGGGGGGGTTGGCAAGGGAGAGAGGCTAGGAAGCATGGATACGGATACATGATACGGCGATATGGATACGGTGATACGCCAAAATCTAAAAAAGTAGGTTACGGATACAACGGAGATACGTTCGTAAAAATTTAAAAAAAAAAATCATTTTTTATAATTTTAATAATGTAATATGCATGAAAATAAAACTTAAAGCAAATTAATAAAACAAGATAGGGATTCATATCAAGCTAAAAGTATTCAAACAATCATAAAACATCCAAAAGTAAAAACAAAAGCAAATGCAAATTAAAATTAAACATCATCTTTACATGCCAGCACTAAAAAAAGAACGAGAGCAAAGACAAGAAATGTGAGAGAGTGAGAGAGAAGTAAGAGAGACAATAAGGATCAAGGTTGTTAAAATCGAGATTCTACATTGGATCGTTGAAAGTGTTTATAGGATCGGATCGAGGATCGTAAGATCCTACCGTACATAATAATTTAATTTAAATAAATATTTCTTAAAAAGTATACACAAAATGAGCCTATATTCTATTAAAAAAAAGTGAAGATATTGTGAAACATATAATACTCCGTGTAAAATGTACATATAATATTATACAATAGAAAACTCGATGGTAAAAATTTTGTATTTCATCAAAAAAGAAGGTAAAGAAAAATTCTATAACAAAATACTTTACAATCTACAATAATGCATAAAAAGTTAAGAAAAAATATTTTAACAAAGTTGGATATGAAAATAGAAGAACTCAAAAGAACAACTTAACCGAATGATAAAGTTTGTCGTTAACATCCTTAGTGGAGCGGATTCGAGTCACAAAAATAATCTCTCCAAAAATTGAAAAAAAGTTGCAATCATCTTACCCTTCTTAGACTCCGCTACAGCTAAGTTTATTTTTCCGATTAGTTAATTTTGTTAAATTACTGCAATATTTAAATGTTTGTTTCCTACTTTGTTTTTCTTAGTCTATTTGATTCAATATTATTTAATTTTCATTATTTATTTTGACCGCATAAATTGGATTTAGACAACAAACATAAAATTTACAATAAAATGTCATACAATACAAAATAAGGCTTGTAAATTGGATCGGATAGGATCAGATTGGATCGGGATTTCATGATCCTATAAGATCTCATTACTAGAATCGAAAGATCCTACCCATAAGGAATGTTTTACACAATCCGGATCGATTGTATTCAAATGGATCGTAAGATCGTAGGATCATAGAATCCAGATCGGGATTCTGATAACTATGATAAGAATACATCAATTTGACAAATTCTATTACTTTAACTATCACTATATTCCTCTTATCAAAGAACTAAACAAAGCATTAGAAGTAATATGTGACTTCGAATATCCAATACTTCAAAATTAAGTATCCGATACTCCAAAATTAATAAAAAAATTAACTAAGAAGTATCCAATATGTATCCGCGAGTATCCAAGGAGTATTGGTATCCGATAATTATGGATACGTCTCCTTTTTTTACGTATCCGTGCTTCATAGGAGAGAGGAGAGAATGAAAACTCATTTTCAAGACAAATGAAAACACCCTTTTTTTTATTACAATTTTTGAAATTTTGAAATCAATTCAATATTTTTGGAAACAAAAACAATATACCAAATAAATTTTCCATTTCCCATTTTCAAAAAAATGAAAACAAAACCAGTAATTAGAATGTATAGATATAAGAATGTTTCAAGAAATCAAAACCCTGTGAGCTGCAAATTGTTATCTGGCTTCTATAAGTACACTTACTAAACATCATCAAATAAGCATAGGAATAATACGCCACTAAAGCAAACAAAACTTGATATCAACATGAAAAATACTTCATATAAAATCAAAAAATAAATGCCAATAGAGAAGGCATAGAAAGCTGTCACACCAATAAGCATCAATACTTAGGTACTAAGCATACACTATGTAGTTAATTTACCTTGACTAAGTGCTAATTTTCAGCCTACTAATTAGTACGTCAGTATGGCCGATCCCATCCCAAACGCAAGCTTCAAATTCCATAGTACCACCATCAACAGCATCAGCATCCTTAACATCAAAGGTAATATAATACTTAAACCCAGCACATAAACCCATGTTTGCCTTCACAACCTTCACAAACTCCAGCTTCTTAAACTGCACACATATTTTCCGACATATATTATGAACAACAAAGGCTAATTCTCAAACCAAACAAACAAACAAAACAATGAAATTTTTTTTTAATTGAATAAAGAAATACACCTCTTTGTCATTGTATTGCTTGAGCGCTAATTCCGAAAAAGTTTTGAGATCGTCGGCAATCTCATCCAGGTTAAAAACCGGCTCTGTTCCACCAAACCCAAACGAGCGTGGGAAGTACATGACATCAAAGCCCTGTATATGTATATGTATTGTAAGCCCACAAATTCTATTACATTACAACAATAATAATATAAAATATATATTTATATGTAAATAGGATTTTGAAGAAAATAGAGACAAATGAAAGAGGGAAGTATTAAGAGAAGCTATATAAGATATACACACATCACTTTGGGTTAACTGTCTATCATACTCTTGGAATTCCTTATCAGTAAACTCATGCATTCCATCACTATCATCTTCCACATCTGAATCATCATCGTAGTTATAGAATACGATTTTAGATCTAGGGTCTTCTTTTTCTTCTGCTGATGAACAAAGCGGCGATGGTGATGGTGATGGTGATGGTGGAGGTGGTGGGGAAGCGCAACCCTCGCACCTTTGCTTCTTCGCCGGTGAATCTCTAATCTCCCATTTGCAATCGTTGCTTTTGATGCAGAGATAGATCGGAAGCCATACCTTCACGCAAAGAGAGACAATACAACAATGAAAACTAGAGAGCAGACAAAAGTAACTCAACCGAACCTAACCTAAGAGGTATAATTATGGCGTGTTTAGGCCTATTTTGGAAGTCGGTAAAACGCTGGTTTATTATTATTATAATAAAAATATGAAGTCATATTTTCTATTTCTTTGGCATCGCAATCTTTTACTTTCCAACCTATAATGTAGGTGTTTGAAAAGTGAGTTTTTATGTAGATTTTTTTAGTTGTCTGATATTATTGGATAAAAAAATTTTGATGTTTGAAATGATAGTTGGATTTTTTTGTGATTGGATGTGATATTTGTGAGAGAAAAAGTAAAATGATTACGGAATTGGATGTGATATTTTGTTTAGATTTATTTTATTTTTTTTTGATTTTGTAAAAAGTTTGTCTTTTAGGGTAAAAAATTAAAAAAAAAAAAACCAATCCAGAAACTTCCCTTTTTTAAAAGTTATGAATAGTCTATATAAAATATTTTTCTCTTTATTTTTAGAATTAAATATTTAAAAACGATATATTTCATTTTGAGAGTCTTATATAAATATAAACAAATCGCTTCATTTCTTATAAAAAAAATTTAAAAAAAAAAAAGAATTGGTCTCCTTATTTTTTATATTGATGATGATTAAACAACAAACCGATGTCATGTTCTGCTCTTCTTTTTTCGTGTGTTTTGTAATCGAGCAAGACATTTGGTCTTCTATGATGAACTAAGGGTTTGTTTCTTTCCAACTGAACTATGAGTACTAGGCTCGTTCTTGTGAATGCATTCTGCTTTGGATCTTTCAAGATCAATTCTCATGAGAAGTATATTTATATACATTTTCTTACTAAAAAATAATTATTCTTTTTTATTTTTTGTGTTTGCTTCCATATTGATATACATAATATTTACAATTGTCCTTCATGGATCAAATCACTGTAAATAATTTTGGTTGAATCTTAAAGTTATATGCATTCATTCGAATTTAAACAGAGGAAAGCACATAAGTTTTTAAAATAGGGATTTGCATTGCATCTCAAAAGTTCACATGTTATTTTCATACACTTTCTTTTTGTGTTAAATTATATTTTGTAACGCCCATAAATAATCAACAATAAAACCATCCACGATATTAATAAATGACAATACATTTCTGAATATGATATCTTTACATTCACATGACTCAATTGTATAAAAGATGACACATGCAACTATACATTCATAAGCCCTAACCCTGAATCTATAGCATGTGCCATAAGCTAGAGATATGCAATAAGATTAAACAGATATTTTTATACCGTAACGACTACAACTTTCCATGGCAGTATTTGGTTACAACAAAAGTGGGTCTAAGCTCAATACAGTTAAAGGCCTAGGCTTGTACAAAAGTAAATATAACAAATAACAAAAAAGAAGCCTTCAACTCCAAATTCCTCCCAAGTTATGTTCTTGGCGAAGGCATATCATCAGTACCAAAAAATGATTTTCCACAAAGGGTGAGCCAAAGCTCAGTAGAGATACCCTAACACAGTATATTAATCTTAACAAAGCTATAAAGTGAATGCAGATGTAATACTTGTGCCAAAACATTTTATATCTCTTTCCAAAAACATGCAATGCCAGGTTATATCACAATTCATGAAAACATTTCCTTTACAACAGAAAACAGGGTAGTGATTACAAGCTTTGGGAATATCTAGGTATGTGTCTGCAAGTAGGCTATACAAGTACTACCAATGCCATTTTTACCGGTATTGACTGGAAGGCTCGATACCTGTAACGTCCCAAAATAAATACAAAAACCATCTACAGTATCAATAAGTGACAATAATGATAAAGTAATTATCCTCCATTAAGTCCAATTAAGCTTACAAAAAGGTAACATATACGAGTATACATTCACAAGCCTAGCTATGAATCTATAGCATATGTTGCAAAATACAGAAATAGAATGGAAGTTTGAACAAATAAGAAATGCCCTAAGGGCTTACAGTTTTCCAAGTTAATACTTGGTTATAACAAAAGTGGATTTAGATCCAATACAGTTAAATCCCTTAGCTTGTACAAAAATACGTATGATAAATACATAAAATGAAGCCTTTGCTCCAAGTCCCTCCAAGCTATTACCTTAGTGGAGGCATATCACCAACACCTAAAATGTTTTTCCCACATAAGGTGAATCAAAGCCCAGTAGAAAAACTTTAACATAATTTATGAAGTTTAACAGAGATATATGGTGATATGCTTGTGCAATGCTCGTACAAAACCTTTTATATTTCCTTTCAAACCATGCAATGTCAGGTTTATATCAAAATTCGTAACCACTTCTATTACTTTAGAAACAGGACAGTGAATCACATTCTGGGAATTTCAAAACAATACAACCTTTCCCGGAAATTTCTTCTAGAGGAAACCATAAATTGGGACCTATGTAAACGTAGGTTGTACAAGCACTACTATTGCCATTTCATGGAAATTTCGTCCTCGGGATCAATACTCATGTATACGTGCGATTTTTCCTTAGTGGAGGCATATCACCAACACCTAAAATGTTTTTCCCACATAAGGTGAATCAAAGCCCAGTAGAAAAACTTTAACATAATTTATGAAGTTTAACAGAGATATATGGTGATATGCTTGTGCAATGCTCGTACAAAACCTTTTATATTTCCTTTCAAACCATGCAATGTCAGGTTTATATCAAAATTCGTAACCACTTCTATTACTTTAGAAAACAGGACAGTGAATCACATTTTGGGAGTTTCAAAACAATACAACCTTTCCCGGAAATTTCTTCTAGAGGAAACCATAAATTGGGACCTATGTAAACGTAGGCTGTACAAGCACTACTATTGCCATTTCATGGAAATTTCGTCCTCGGGATCAATACTCATGTATACGCGCGATTTTTAGGACTTTCACCATAGACACTCAACAAGATTACATTCACTTCCCAAATTTACCCATTTTCTCAATTAATCCCAAAGAAACAAGGTAAGGTGATGCTTCTAAATGAGTAGATCTAAAGATCTAGTGTGAGAAAAGTGAGTTTAGAGAGAAAGAGAGATTCACGGTTTAGAGAAGAAGAGAGAGAAGGTAAAGTGAAGAAAAGAATAAGTGAGGGACCTATTTATAGTACTAGGTTAAAGTGAAATAAAGTCCCAAAGTCAACCCAAAAGAATAAGTCAAAACCCCCAAAAAGTAGGGCCCAAAACCGAATTAAAAAAAAAAAAAAAAAAAACCACAGGGGTCGACCCTTGGACCAGAGGTGTCAACCCTCAGGAAGAAATGGCAGAAAATGCCAACGTTGGCAGTTATCAGGGTGTCGACCCTCGGACTAGAGGTGTCGACACCGAATTTCAGTAGCTAATTCTAGTTTCAGCAGCAGACAAGGGTTGACACCTCCCAAACTAGTGTCGACCCCAGAGGCCAACAACAAAAGACAAGTGTCGATACCACCAAAGGCTGGTGTCGACCCTAAATTCTAGTAGCTATCCAAGAACACAACAGCAAGATGGTGTTGACACCACCAAGGTTGGTGTCGACCCTAGGAGCTGAACAAGACAAGTAAAAGAAGGTAGTGTCGACACCAACCAGGATGATGTCGACCCCTGAAGCCAAAACCAACCATGAAAAGAAAAGAACGACTGCCACGGATATGGTTTCTCGAATTCGAAAGCAATAAATAGGCCGGGTCTAAGCCCAAATCACTATAACCTTTCCCCTTTAAGGAATTTCGTCCCCGAAATTTTAAATTAATAACAATATCATATTTAAACCAATTACAACAATGATAGTAATTCATTTTTGTCTTCTTGACCCATCTACCGGTCATTCATTCTCACCACCGTGATAAACACGTTCTCATCACTAATTACACAATTCTCATTTCCAAAACATATACAATGTTTATATTACATTAACATGATCAGATTTTCAATACAAGTTCAAATATCGACAAATAGGTCTGGATATTTCTCACAGACTTCCGCCTCACATTCCTAAGTTGCTTCCTCAACCTCGTGGTGTCTCCATAACACCCTTACCAAAAGAATTTTCTTGCTATGCAAGACTTGGTCTCGAGCGTCTAAAACTCTAACTGGTTTCTCCTCATACGAGGCATCCTTATCTACCTCTAGCTCGGTCCAGTCCCATACGTGTGATGGATTCGGCTCATACTTCTGAAGCATGCAAATGTGAAACATGTCACAGACCACAAAAAGTTGTGACAGCAAGGCCAAACGGTAAGCTACCTCTCCAATCCGCTCTAGGATCTCAAAAGGTCCAATAAACCTAAGAGACAACTTCTCACTCTTCTCAAACATCATCAAACCACACCTATGTGATATTTTCAAGAAGATGTGACTGGAACCTCAAAGGATAACTGTCTCCTCCTACGGTCAGCATAGCTCTTTTGACGACTCTGAGCCGTGACCAACCTCTTACGATTAAGTGCAACCTTCTTCGCCATTTCCCGAACTAACTCAGGACCTAACATAGGTGCATCACCCACCTCAGCTTAACACACCGGAGATCTACATGGTCAGCTATACAAAGCCTCAAACAGTGCCATGCCAATACTCGATTGGAAGCTATTATTATAGGCAAACTCCACGAAAGGCAAATGCCTCTCTCACTCCCGAAGCATACATATTCTCAAGGATCTGAATGGTACGCTCTGATTGCCCGTCAATCTAAGGATGATAAGCGGTGCTAAAAGTTAACTTAGTGCCCAAGGCATTTTGTAGGCTCTGCCACAACCAAGCCGTGAAACGCGGATCTCTATCGAAAACAATAGTGATTGGGATCCCATGAAGTTGAACCATGTCCCTAATATAAAGGTTGGCAAGATAATCTACCGAGTCACTTGTGTGCATAGGTACAAAGTGCACTAACTTAGTTAACTGATCAACTATCATCCAAATGGCATCATTACCCCGCTGAGTCCTCGAAAGACACACAACAAAATCCATCGTAACATGTTCCCACTTCCACTCAACTATAGGTAAGGGTTGTAACAAACCC